CAGAAGGGGTCGGAAGGGGTGAATGGAAGCGGTATGGGGGGGTAGTAATATGAACAGAAGGGGTATGGGGGGTAGTAATATGAACGGAAGGGGTATGGGGGGGTAGTAATATGAACGGAAGGGAAAGGGTAGTAATATGAATGGAAGGGGTAGAGGGGGTAGTAAGTGTCCCTAAATGGCAGTTAGGAAATGTGGTCACCCTAAGTCAGGCAGCCATTAACACGGGGCAAAGGGGCAGCTGCCCGGGCCCAGTTGCTCCTGCCCACAATAATATGCTAAAAATGTTCCCTCTCAAATCCTAATCTGATTCAATCCTCCACTATTTGGCATCGCCGCATATTAAAGGACTTTGTTTGCTCCTCCTCCCGACCTCCCTTGCCCTCTGCGTACGCGAATTCCATGATGTCAAGTGAGCCCCGGTCTCCTACAACTGCAGAGCAGCGCCTCATGCTTTCAGCCCTGAACCCTGGGCCCAGAGCACTGCTGGTGTCTTCAGTACTGTAAGTACAAGAAGATATATTACTTGTTTAATGGGGGTTAGGAGGCTAGGTGGTTGGAGGGGAGACGATTAGGGACGGGTAGATAGAGGGGTTAACCAGGGATATCATACTGATCACATGGAATGCTCAAATCCTGCCAGGTACATCATACTGAGCACATGGAATGCTCACATCTAGCCAGGGATGCCATACTGAGCGCATGGAATGCTCACATCTAGCCAGGGATGCCATACTGAGGACATGGAATGCTCACATTTGGCCAGGGATACCATACTGAGCACATGGAATGCTCACATCTGGCCAGGGATGTCATACTGAGCACATGGAATGCTCACATCTAACCAGGTGTGGAATGCTCACATCTAACCAGGGATACCATGCTGAGCACATGGAATACTCCCATCCAGCCAGGGATATCATTAGTACAGTACTATCTGCACATTGTTTACAAAAAAAAATAAGTAATCTGTAAATACAAAATATTTGTGTCAGTAGTTGTGCTTTTTTATTTTTTGAATAATGATACAGCCATTTTACTTCATACATTTGTGCTAATTTATGTGCTGGTTGGAGGGGGGTAAGGGGCAGTATTACACAGTCTGTATATGTATTAATAAATATAAAAAGTACAAAATGTTTGTGTTAGGGTTTGTGTCAGAAGTTGTGCTAAAAATCGAGCTAGGAATGTGCATAGGTGTTTTTTTTCCGTTTAAAAAAAATAATAATTTTTTAGAATAATGATTGACATTTTTATTTCATACAATTGTGATGATTCTATTTTTCCCTCTATATTCAAGTGACACTATAGTCACCAGAACCACAACGGCTAAATGTAGTAGTTTTGGTGTTTATAGCATGTCTCTGAGGGCTTTTTTAAGGAAGCGCACTGCCTTTTCAGAAAAAGGCAGTATTTACATTACTGCCGAGGAATACCTTATCAGACGGCCACTAGAGGTGCTTACTAGTCCAGTGTTGCACAACGTGCAGCACTAGCATTCACGCTGAACACTCCTCATAGAAATGCATTGATTCAACGCATGTCTGTGAGGAGATGCTGATTGGTGCAGCACAGTGTTTTGCCACGCATTTGGTTGGCTGATATATATTCAAACACTGTACATTCCTGTGCATTATATTGGTGAGGTGATCTGTAATACACTCACAAACTGCACGTTCCTGTGAGATATTTTGCTGTAGAGCTTGTGATACACTCACACACTGCACTTTCCCATGCATTTTATTGCTGAGGTGTTCTGTGATGTACTTGCATCTCACACATTACTGTCAGTTGTATTGCTGTGGAGCTATGCGATACACTGATATGCTTCACGTTATATTATTTCACACACACTTAAAATTTTACATTATTATTATTATTTTATTATTTACATAGCGCCATTAAATTCCGTAGGGCTGTACAATGGGATAAACAACTCCCAGTTTAATGAATAAGAATATACCCGGTGAGTAAGAATGCTATCCCCCCCAGATTTGTGGGGGTTCCTACGCCCATGGTGGTACCTGCTTCTGCAGTAAAGTGCAGATGTCCCGCTGGTCCGTTGCTTGGACTTACTGTGGTCTCTGGGATCAACGTCCCATTGCTGGTGGATAGCTGAGGTGGGTTGTGGAATAGTAAGCGGAGGCGTTGGCGGCTTTGATCAAGCCCGTTCTGCCGAAGAGCTCCTCAAGGCCGGTATGTAGAAGGCCCAAGTCCTCCATTTCAGCTTGGCCAGCTTTGGGGTGTACTAAAAGGGCATCTATTGATGCCACGGGAAGCCCATGTTCCGTGCCCGCTATTTTCAGGGTTGGATGGGACCTGTGGGTGGCTGGATTTCGGTGGATTTTGCTGAAGGGGTGAGAGCACAATACATGCATTTAGAAATCCATCTGTGTAAATAAGATACATTGTTCTTGTTCCAAGATACATTTTTGTTCCATAAATTATTATAGGCAAGTCATAAAATTTACAGAACAGACTTCTTTTGGCCAGATCCCACTCACAAACCTAAACCAAAAATGTCCCTCCTTGCCCATTTGAATTGGTGGGAGGCATGTTTGAATTATGTTATCTACCAAAACCTATTTCTTTTAGATCCTCAAGTATTCCTATTAGCTAAACTCTAGAAAAGTAGTTGAGAAGTTGCTCTAACAGCAAGATGCACCACTGTTTATCTATGGTGTTCACCATTCCTTCTTTCTTTCGCCCCTACCATCTCTCTGCTTGGGGAATAGATAAACATGCTTTATTGTCTTTTTGTGTGACAATCCAAAAGGATATGGGACCACTGGTTGAATGAACCATTAGTCCCAACTCCTAAGCTATTCAGTTTATTAGTGTATTAGATACTTCTATTTTTCCTCAGCATGCCCCCTTCTTATCCTGGCAACAAGATCCTTGTCCAAACTTAAAGGACCACTATAGTGCCAGGAAAACATACTCGTTTTCCTGGCACTATAGTGCCCTGAGGGTGCCCCCACCCTCATTGACCCCCTCCCGCCCGGCTCTGGAAGGGGGAAAGGGGTAATAACTTACCTTTTTCCAGCGCTGGGCGGAG